ATCCATCTGCATAAAATCATTTAGAAATTATAATCTGCTTTGTATAAAGATGTCAGCTAATACTAATGCAATTACAGCAATAAGTGGGATCTTGCATCCTTAAAATAATAATAATGAATTCAGTGCAGTTAGAGAATTTTATTTGACAGAATCCTCCTGGACGCACAGAGTATTAAAGGCCTCCATAACTATCGAGATGCGTCGGAAGACAGTGACACACAGACTAAAACCCAAAAATCGAACCCATTAGTGGTGCACCTACATAATGAAGCCCGGCTTGTAATTACTGTTGTCCACTGTTTATTGCAACGGGGCCACAAATTCATAAAAGCTGGGAAAATGGCACAAATGATAGAGTATCAGATACTTTAGCTGCCTTCCCGTATCGAAGGACATCGATGGTCTCAGGAAGCGTGGACGAAATTACAAATATTGTACTCTCAGGCGAGTTTGGCTTCATAATCATGCAAATATTATCCGTTTTTAATTTTTTAATGAGGAAAAATGGCAAGAGGTTATAATTTAGAAGCACTACTAACGAGCTGAAATAAAAATATCTTTAATTATGGTTTTAAAGGACATGGAAACTGAAATTGTATACAGGTAGTTCCCGGCATGAGTGTCTGACTTACGGACAACTCGTACTCACAAACGGACTGCCATGAAGTCTATTATATAAAAAATTCGGGTTAAATACAATAGCTTGTAATAACGAATCCAGGCACTACTTTGGGACGCTCATGAATACATTTGCAGCTTTAGCTGTTTGTCGGCTCGAGGTACAGAACAGTACCACATGTCGTTACTTGTATTATTACTGTAAAATAATTATTATTTTGTACTGTATTATTATTTACCAAGACTTTAGTCCTGCTTCTAAGAGCCGGATACGGACTGTCCTAGCAGTGCACTTTACCTCCGCACTTAAAGTTTCCCATTCCTTCTGAAGGTCAACTCATGAGAAACTGTCGGATAAGTTAACGGGCATCACTGGCATTAGAAAGTCGCTTCTGCCCTCTACCTGGCTGGTTTCTGGTCGTTCCCAGTGTCTCCTGCTTCACCTTATTCTTGTGCTGCTGTCTTAGAAATTTTGAGCCTGGAAGCGGCCTGCCGCTCAGCGTAGCTTCTGTCAGCAGAACCACGATTAAACCAGGATTTAAACATTTAGATTTCATTAAAAATACAGAGTGGGCTCAATTTTTTCCAGAGCTGTGTATAGCATTTTCTACCAAAATTTCTCTCTCAGGCGGAGTTATGACCAAGAGTTATTCTTGTTATGGAAGCAGCAGATTTTACACCAAAAACTGCAGCAAAATGTGAGCTCGGAGTAGAACGGCGTAATAAGATAGGGAACGGTAAAGTGCCAGGCAATCCTGCCGTGTTTAAACTTAGATTTCATGTGATACTAATGATAATTATCATGATTATTACGGCCGGTAGTAATCATTCATAAATGGCAGTACCAGGAGAAATGGCCAGTGCAGTGCCACAGACAGACCACGAGGACTGCCTGTCAGACAGACTGCCACATGAAAAAGAAGGATGAGTACATGTTATGGGTAATACATGTGAGGTATGCTGTGCACTTGTGCCTCGTCTCTCACACGCACACGGCATATGGCTGCTATTCTCTGCCCCCTCGAACCCAGGCGGCCACCGTCCCGGAGCTCTGTTACTCAGGAGATACCAGGAGGTGCGGCTGGACCTGGGGTCTCATCCCGGCTCCTCCTCCTCTTTCCAGCTCCCCCTGCTCCTCCTTCTGGCTCCTCCTCCTCCTGCTCCAGTGCTGGCCAGTCCCACGGCAGCTCGAGCTATAAAGTCTGGGGCTTTTTTTAAAGCCCCTTCTGTCACGGGGGCTGCCCCCCCGCCCCCCTGTAATACATGCGGGGTTGCTGGGGGGGCACGTCTGCTGTGTTCTCAGAAATAATTGCCTCCATAGGTTCCCATCTCCATTTCTTTTTTTTCTTTTCACGTGGTACTAAAAAATGGAGGAAGGATGGAAAGCGGATGCGGCAGAGAGCCCCTTCATGCATGAGCGAGCCCATCGGATGATTTACAGCGAAGCCGGAGGCCAGGGAGAGGCAGTGCCCACTGCACAGTGGCCCTAATGACGACTTACTGAAGAAAAGCACCCGGGCACACAGGGCTGGCTGCTGGGGATGGGCCATGGGGGAGGGGCCAGGCTGGGGGCGGGGCCAGGCTGTGGTGGGGCCCATTTGGGGGCGGGGCCATTCTAGGGGCAGGGGCCCAGGCTGTGGTGGGGCCCAGTTGGGGGCGGGGCCATTCTAGGGGCAGGGGCCCAGGCTGTGGTGGGGCCCAGTTGGGGGCGGGGCCATTCTTGGGGCAGGTGACAAGGCACAGCCATCACCTCCCTAAGAGCCGGATGAGTTGAGAAACATACCTACACACACGTCTCCACACAGGACAAGAATTCACTGCCATCCTTCTGCGAAGGAAAATCACTTATGTCCAGGTGGCTCTCACAAGTCATACGTCTTTGAACGTGAAAAAATGCAAAACAAATGGCCTAAAACCCCCTAAATTTCAAGACATTAACTTGCACTTAACGTAATATGCGCTGGCATTTCTCTGTAAACTCAATTTACTAAATAGTAAATTAATTTTAAGGCCAAATAACTCCTAATGTAGAGACAAACATCACATTCAAATAACGTGTGGAATTTAGTTTTTCTTTTTTTCTGTTAAACACTGAAGTTCACAACCACTAAAAAGAACAGGACCTATTCATTATCAGGGGAAAAATGATTCATGAATGAAAAAAGAAAAGTAGCCTTTGACTCTACCGACCACGCAGCCTTAGCCTCTGCTAATTCTCAGTATCGCAGGAAAAAATGAAGATTTCCCAGAAATCAGCCCAGGCTCTCACGATGTACACGTATAAACAGCAAACCATGTTCACGTGACACTATTCAACATTCACAATCTTATAGCTGACAAATAGATATTTTTAATCATTCTGAGGGTCTATCAAAGTGTCATGAGTTCACTTACATTCACATATTTCAGGTAGCTAAATTTAAAAAAAATATGAGTTCAAGAGAAATTTGAGTAGTTTCTCGCCTGTACTGCTCAAGACATATGTCAACACATATAGAGGCGCAACATTAATTTATGCAGTCAGGGGTCCCCACTGTGCTCCTCAGAGTGTCCTGAATATTCAGAAGCGACTTTCGCAGAGCTCCTGGAAGGCGGGGTTCCACACCGACCGCACAAAAACCAGATAGGCTGCCACTCGAGATTATCTGCACCATGCAAGATAGTTTTTAGGTCTGTATTCACTTGGGAAAACAAGTGAATTTCCATAATTAGAAGAAAAAAAAAAGTTTTGTTTTTTTTATTTTGCTCCTTATTCTCCAGTTATTTCATGTTGTAAACTGGGACACCTGTTGGTAATTATATTATTGCCATTACCACCTCTGCCGTCCCTAACACTGCACATACGATGCACTGCACATACACTGCACATACACTGCACATACACTGCACATACGATGAAGAATAATAATAAGAATGATGATAAAATGGTCAAATCTGGTTGCTCTAAATGACCTACTGGAGCACAACCAAAATACAAGCTGCTTCAGATCCTTTCATGGAAATTCACACGTGCACACATACACACAGGTTTGTAGTTATATCTTGTAAAGACTCTAATCCCAACATGACGACCTTAACCCCCACCCTGCCCTAACCTTAACCATAAGTACCCAAACAAAATAGAAGAATTTTAGTTTTTTGATTGCATTCACAGATTTTTATAAAACTGAGGTTATTGTTGTGGGGACCAAAAAAAAAAGTGTCCCCACAAGGTAAAAAGTTACAGGTTTTGAATGACACACACACACACACACACACACAATTATTTTCACAAGAGGGGAGCGAGCAAAGCGCATCACCACCGCAGGAAACATAAAAACAATCCATGGCATCAGAAATAGCCTCTCAGTTTATCAACATGCCTCCATGTGCGTTTCCGATGGTGCTGCCTTCACCCCAGTAAGACCAATTAATCAGGGAGCTGAAAAAAGGTTAATCTTCAACAGGACGTATTTTGATAAGAATGAGTGTGGGAATGCAAAAAAGTCACTGAGAGCAGGAAATGACGGAAATACACACCTAAAACTTCTTATGAATGGAGAAGGAAAATGTGCAGAGGCGGACATTTCAGGTCCAGAAAGTAAAAATCCAAACCAGGATTTTGTTTCAACCAACCTGCGACTGTGACTCTTTATATTCAACTGGTTGGTTGAAACAAGATCCTGGTTTGGATTTTTACTTTCTGGACCTGAAATTTCCACCTCTGAAAACGTATCATTTGGAGATTTGATAAGGGTGTCTCTTCTCAAATGTCCAGTGGTGATTCATCCCCCCGGGCCTCCCTCTTAGAGTGGTTTGGATGTAAACGCAGACGCGAGGTCGGATCGCCTGGGCGCGGAGCGTACGGGTGGCACCCCGGAGAGCAGCATGTGCTCTCAAGCAGACTGTCCTCCTCTTCTGGGTCCCCCGTATAAACAGGACACTTCGAGGGACAGCGAAGGTTTCGGCACTGGAATGTCATTCACGACGTGCTGGCGAGCTCAGCGAGCCGGGCCGGGCCGGGCCGATTCGAGCCCCTGCTTAGGCCGGCACCACAGACGCTAGAGTGTTATACAACCGGGCCGACTGGACCTCATGTTTTACATCACCGGCCAAATCATAACTATTAATATCTTTTGTTTCTGAAAGTTATACAGACCGGTTACACATATTCGCCCCTGAGCACTGAAATGGAAGCCAAACCTGTCTGGTAAAGAAAAGCCACGTCAGAGTTCACTGGAAGGAGATGGATTTCACTGTGGGATCTTCCCAGTGCTTTCCTGCAGCCTCTGGGACGGCTCATGAAGACCCCGCGTGTTTACCGGGTACTCGCGTGTATCTCCTTTTTGGGAGATCAGGAGGCCCGTGAGGAAGGAGGTGGAGGAGGTGCAGCTCGCACTCACCGGACTGGCGGGGCAGGCGGTCGCTGACGACGAAGAGCTCTGCGAGGTCCTCGCTCTCCAGGCCGGCGCCCCGCCTGCGCAGCCGCAGCCGCCGCAGCCCGTCGGCCTGCTGGTGCCGCGGGGAGCGGAGGTGCTGCAGCAGGCCCAGCTTGGCGCGGGTGGAGAAGTCGCAGAGAGTGCAGGAGTAGGTGCAGGAGTCCGGGTCCAGGGCGCTCTCCTGCTTCTGCAGGTGCTGTGGAGGAAGTCAGGGGAACATACATGCCTGTCAGGCGGCGGATATGAGGGATCAGGAGGCATCAATGTGAGTGTGTGTGTGTGTGTGTGTGTGTGTGTGTGTGTGTGTGTGCGACTGTGTGTCTGATCGTGTGCGTGTCTGTGTGTGTGTGTGTGTCTCTTCATCGTGTGCCATCAACCATTATCAAACTCGGGTCCCATTAGGAGACCATCCCCAGCACTAGGAGAGGACAGTCTGTGTGCCTGTGTTTCTCTGTCTGTGTGACATTATCTGCAGCACTAGGAGAGGACAGTCTGTGTTCCTGTGTTTCTCTGTCTGTGTGACATTATCTGCAGCACTAGGAGAGGACAGTCTGTGTGCCTGTGTTTCTCTGTCTGTGTGACATTATCTGCAGCACTAGTCGAGGACAGTCTGATAAAATGGCCGCTTCTCAGGGCAGAGCTGCCGGACTGCAAAGCGAGGATCTTCCTCATTTGGGAGAAATACGGACTAAGAACATAAGAACTATACAAACGAGAGGAGGCCATTCGGCCCATCGAGCTCGCTAGGGACAGAGCACTTTCTCTCCATGCAGACAACAAACGTAGAGGCATCTCATGCTCACCCGAAAGCGTGCACTCCCTGGTGGGGAGCGAGGTTCCCTCAAGCCCTCCCAATAATCCACAAAACCCAAACGGCACCAAGCCCTCCACTGGTCAGGGCGAGGCCCACCTCCGGGGCGAGGCCCACCTTTGGGGCGAGGCCCACCTCCAGAAATACGCGGCACCCAGAATTGTCCCGAGGCCTCAGTGAGCCACACACAAAGACACCGGCTACGGGAAATTAAAGCCCCGCGCGCTCAAACTAATTTACCTCAATTAGCCTGGTTTGAATGCCTGGTTTTATCCACGCTCACTGCCCCGAGTGGGTCAGCTGCTAGGAATAAGGTGCACTTAAGCTAGAGAAACACTTCTGAAGCTCGAGATGAATCAACTCAAGCCATTCATCAACCCACTAATGCTGGGCGGGGTCGCTGGGGGCTGGGGGCACGGGGCAGGGGGCAGGGCACAATGCAGGGGCACATCTGGGACAGGATGCCAGCCTATCGTGAAATATACACACAGCCCAATTAGACACTGATCAGCCTGAGGGGTTTCTGGACTGCAGGAAGCTATAGTACCATTCTTAAGACAGAAAGAGGCTGGACCATGTAGGACAAATATTTATGGAGTGCAGTTTATAAAGAATGAGATATTTGATTTATTTATTAAAACAATATTTTATTAAATGAATATATATAGTCCCACCCACAGGACACACTAATTAACAGCAAATAAAAGAACAATACAGTTTTTGTTCAGGCCCCGCCTCCTCGTGAGGTCCAGGCCACGCCTCCTCGTGAGGTCCAGGCCACGCCTCCTCGTGAGGTCCAGGCCACGC